AAAGAAATATCTTTTAAAAATAACTATCCCTAGGGGTTAACCTTTTTTTTTAACCGAAACAAACTAATAAAAACAATAATGAAACTAGCTGTCATATATTAAAATTAAATTTAAAAAAAAAACTGAACAAATAAATTGACAGCTAAAGTCAAACCCTAAAATTTTACAATTTATTAATTATTACAAATTCTTTAAATTTTAACGAAAGCGATTATTATAATTATTAAAAAAAAATCTGTCTTTACCTTAAAATTAATACACAAAAAGTTACCTGAATTTCACTCGATCACACATTAAATTTTCTGGAACTAGGCGCGCCGCACATTCAGACGCAGGTGACGCAGGCAACGCAGCGTAGGACAGCACAGGTTTCTGTTTTCCGTACAATTACATTACCCCGCGCGAATTTAAACGCAGGGCAGGGCAGCACAGAACTGTGTTTAAGAAAACCTGCCAGCGCAGTCGTCCGGACACAGATTCCTGTGCCACGTGCAGAGCAGTTTGTTTGTTTCTAGTAAAATTTTGTGTGGTTATATTCGAAATGAATGAACAATTAATCGAATGGTGAGAAGCCAGACAATTCTTTACGATACCAACGATCCCAATTGTTTAAATTAAATAAGTAATTTACAAGAAGATAGTGAAGATGAAGACCCACAACAGGAAGACTCCATAGTTGATCCAGAGAGTGAAATTGTTGACGAGGTGCCCAGCGACATTCGACATGATACCGAAGAAATCGAGAGTGTTAAAAATAACATTGTTAATGAGTCGTCTACGTCTGGTATTGTTATACAAAAAAATAACGAAAAAGAAAATGCCCAACGTAAGGCAACAATTATGCAACGTCAAAAAAGGGCCGAAGAAAGAGCAGTTGAAAGGGCAGCACAGAAGCCTTTGGATGATGATATCTATTATTTTTATATGTCGATGTACAAAATAACCAAAAAAAATGCCTCCTAAATTTCAACATCGTGCAAGAAATTATGTGTTCCAAGCTATATCGCAGCTCGAAGCTGCATATTAAGAAATTCATGATCCCAGTCAAGAAAACTACACTCATAGTAAACAAAGAGTTTTTACAAGTGAATATGTTAATACCCATATTCAGTAGCCCCATTACTCGTCAACACATCTTCCATCACCAAGTTCCAGTCACAGTAGCCAGCATACTGAGAATCAACATTGTAATAATCCTCTAGCTCCTATTCCAAACAACTCTTTTTTATGCTCAAATGATTACAAGTCTAGAAGCACCAGTAATTATTCATCTACTACACTCACCCTAGGTTGTCTGCTGAGACTTCTCTTTATATAAAAATTCTCTTTCTATGTTCATATAATATATTCGATATTCGCACCTCAAAATTTTCTAGAAGACTGCTTCCAAATATGCGCTCACACTGCGTGACACGCATATTTTCTGACCTGTGTAGCCTGCCCTGCACTGCGTCACCTGTGTCATCTGCGTCCCAATGTGCTGCTTACTTAACTGGGGTTAAACTCTCTGAACACGAACACATGAACATAAGGACTGCATTTCACACTGCGAATTGGACTGACTATTAAGTCGGCATTGAACACAAAACTCGGAACTTTTCTCCTTTAAAAAAAAACTGGGACAGGTAAAATTGGACTGCAATTACCATTAAATTGCTACTATTAACCGCTACTATAATTGTTTTCCATAACGTAGGACGAAGAACAAAAGGGCATTACAAATTTAATGAAAAATTTGGACTCAAACTAAAATGTCTCCCTCTGGCAGCCATTCTAACGAGAATGACGAAATTATCTATAAAATTAATTCACATAAAAACAAAACAAAACACTTGACAGAAATTAAAACGCAAATTATTTCAAACGCACTATCGAGCGGTTCAAATCAAAGAAAAATATCGAAGAATTTGCGCCTATGACATAAACAAACAATAATATGGTTTACATTAACATCCAGCAATGCAAATAAAATGATTGAAAACACTTTTGGGTATTTTAACTTTTACGAATAGGAAGCTGAAATACACTTAAATTATTATTCGTTATTTTATTCATATATGAGGGGATTTCAAATTGAAACATATACGATGGGATTCCAATATATTTCAAATAATTTGGAAATGCTACATTTTAAACCCAATGTTCAATAATTTCAATGTTCATTGCAGTCTTCGAAAATCGGTTAAGATGATCTAAGCATAGCCATTTTTGTCATTTTACACAAAAATATCGTGTTTTACGATTTGGACCCAAAGTAGGCGCAACGACCTCGTGTATTTGGACGCGGAGGTGCTGGATCTGCATGTACTCCGCTTCACTTTTGGGCGATATATCTGATATCCTTTTGTAAATGGGGTCTCTTGCTGTGGTTAGCATGTTCTACCTTCCCTCTCCTTCTCTGTTCCAGGGTCAAGGCTAAGCCAATTGATTTCAGAATCAATCTTCGTTCCAAAATTAGGTAGTTTTCATTTACATTACATTTATGTATGATGTGACAGTTTATGCCTGCAATGTTAAGTAAATTATAAAAAATGACCATTGGTCATCTTCGGTGTTGTTTCTGCCTACGTTATCAGCCGCACATTTCTAATCGACTGAGTCAACGTGCGATTTTGTAATGTTATAAAAAGTAATAATATTGGGCAGGCATATTACAGACATCTCCAGAATCTCCATGAATCGCGAATTATAGTGAAAAGATGATTTTCTTCGAGATATACGACACCAAAGTAATGGATTTGGAAAACGCAAACATAGACGAGTACTGTAGCCTGCTGGGATCAAGAAGTTCCTTTGGATCTCTTTTATTTTTTCGAATTTTTTCAACAAATGTAATTTTGTGCTGCTCCAACATGCATTTTACAATTTCGTAACTTTTAATCCAATTATCCATGGTTATATTTCTAGACGATCCAAACACAGGTTCACATATTCTTTCCACTAATTGGTGGTTTTAGTACTAATGCGATATGGCCTTGAAAGCTGAGGTCCAACGTATACTTTCATATTTACCGTGTAAAAACATTTGGCGTCTACTAAGGAAAATACATTTTATGCCATATTTCTGGCTGGCTTATTCGAGTTGTACAGGAAGAATCCGCAACGTCCACGAAATGCAAAAAGCATCTCATCTAATGTTAAGTAAGATCCAGGAACGTAATTAAGTTTGCATTTCTGATTAAATTGGTCAAAAACGTTTCCTATTGATGCAAGTTTGTCTATGGTTCTTCTTTCTTCTCTAGTATTTACATCATCAAAACACAAGCTACGTAGCAAGAATACAAATCGCATATGAGCCACAGTAGCTCAAAACATCTCTTCGTCTGTTCCATCAATAGCCCAAAATTCTTTGCAATTTGCGGCTTGCTTTGAAAACCCCAGCTAGTTATAATAGACTAACTACGAGCTTTATTTCCACAGTATCTATAGATCTGTCTGCATTCGGATCTGCATAATTGTTTCTTAGTTTAGAAATAAATATGTTTGTGCTCTGTACAATGATTTCGACAATATTATCATTAATAATATATTTCCAACATTCAGGATCAACAGCTTGAGGAGCATTTCCTTTTAAATCTGGTAAGTATAACATTAAATTAGAACTTCTTGTTCGAACATTTTTTGGAAGAGCATGTTTTCTTCAGGATACCCCAGCTTTTGCATTATAAAAGAGCCACCGGTTTTCTGCATTTGTTTCAAAATTTGTTTGAAGTTGCAGGTTCCTCTCCCAACCCTTCCTCCAATTCTGTTTCCAATTCTTTCTCGCATTCTTCTTCTTCTGTGTCTGTGTTGTGGTCACTTTCTTCACACCTGTCTGATTCTGACTCGCTTTCCAAATCAATAGTTCCTTCTTCTACTTCATCATAGGGCTGTTGTAATCTTTAAATTTCTTTCACATAAGGATCCATCACTGAAATCTCAAATACAAGAGACAAAGATTAACGGCTGGGATATTACTATATATATATATATATATATATATATATATATATATATATATATATATATATATATATATATATAACCATAGGAGTTAAAGTACTTACTCTATGTAGGTTATACTTCACAAAAAATAGGAAAATAAATTTACTTGTCGAACTCACAAAAGTTACTTACAGGTAAGTCTGGTAGAATCTGATAGACTAAAAGTGCAAATAACTAGCGAACTATTATTTATACACTAATGCAAACCCCGTTGTTCACTGTTTTCCGACATGTGGACGGAAAGGTACTGCCGATCGCAGCGCACTCTGACATAAAATAAGCAGTGGCGCATTAGAAATAAATAGATCACATGCCATAAGTCAGTTAAAAAAATATCCGTAAGGGGCGCTTACGTCGAGGTTTGGTATTAAATCATAACCTCATATTATTCCTCAGATTCAGATATACGTTTCAATACATGTTTGCAGATTTTCAGCCATAGTTTCGTGTTTAAAATTAATTTGTGAAATTAGTGAGTTATTTAATATTTTGAACATTTGAACATTTTTGGATAATGAATATTTCAAGGTCTTATTTAAGTTTAAGTCTTATTTTCAAATCTTCAAAAAATTTTTTTAAAAAATTTTACAAAATTGGTTTTAAAAATTTAAAATGGCGAAAAATTCACATTTTTTTTGGCTTTCAATTGTTAATTTTCCATAAATTATTGGGTACATTTAATGTATCCCAGTTTAAATTAAAGCTTTTTTATGTACTTTTATTCAATATTCTGCTTAGTAGACTCTAATATATTGATTTGAATATATATTGAAAATAATCTTATATATTACCTAGCATTTACTGACGATCAATGCCAGCACAAAACATCGGCTGTGGCAAATGTGTTCGTACCAAAACATCTACTAAACTGTCAAAAAAAAAAACGAAAACATGTGTAGTTGAAAATAAGACTGTTATCTTAACTGGATTATTAAGCAAAAATTTTTTTATTGTTCATTGAAACTTCTTAACCTGCTATGTATTAATTATATTAACCACCATGTTTCTCTTTTCAGCACCGATGCCGTAATGCCGATGATCCCCTTAGGCCTTAAAGAAACAAAAGAAATCGACTTCCGAGACCCTTTTAAAGATTTTATTCTAGAACATTACAGCGAAGACGCCAACCACTACGAAGATGCCATTTCCGACTTCATGGACACCAGGCAAGCCATTCGAACCCCCCTCCGAGATTCCTCTGGAATTGCTTTACTCTTTAGGTACTACAACCAACTATACTTCGTAGAAAGAAGATTCTTTCCGCCCGATAGGTCTCTAGGAATATACTTCGAGTGGTTTGATTCTTTAACTGGTGTGCCATCATGTCAGAGAACGGTTGCTTTCGAAAAGGCTTGCGTTCTGTTTAATATGGGAGCTGTATATACACAAATCGGGGCCAAGCAGGATAGGTCGACGGCCAAGGGTCTGGATGCGGCTGTAGATAGTTTTCTAAGAGCAGCTGGTACGTTTAGGTATATAAACGAGAACTTCACCAACGCTCCATCGATGGATCTGGGTCCAACAATGTTAGAAATGTTTGTACAGTTAATGTTGGTGAGTATATTTAAATACATTAAGAGATAAGTTAAAAAAATTAACAAGAGATACTATAATGTCTTCCTATAATGATAATTGAGTACATAAATGTAAAACATGGACACCCCAATGGGTCATCTATACTTGTATGTACTTCAATAGCGAAATCTTATTTCTAGGATCTTTTAAATAACATCGTACATAAAGTAATAAAATTTCTTGGAATAAGATTTCTTGGAATTTATATTCTACAATTTCGGAACTATACTATAGTTTATAATTTTTTAATTTTTTAGTGCCAAGCTAGAGAATGTCTTCTAGAAAAGCTCCAACTACAGTCCAAGGACAACAGATCCATCGATATATGTTTAGATTTATCCCAAGAAGCCGCTCATCTTGCAGAATGTTATAACGACGTGAGTCAACTAATAAGTCATGATACCGTTAGGGACTTCGTTCCCTACAGTTGGTCCTCCCTCGTCCAAGTCAAAAGGCAATTCTATACGGGAATGGCACACAACTTGGTCGCAAATGGGGTGCTACATAAAGATGCTGCGAAAATGTCCGATAACACGAAAGACACGCTTTTGTATATGCATGTTGAGATAGATGGATTAGCGCAACTGGATATAAAGATGCCAAAAGATGCTTCAGAAAGGAGATTATTAGGTAATTATATATTTAACTAAACCAATATTGTTCGCTAAGTTTTATCATTTTTATTAAATAACTATTGAGTTTTCACTATCTTCATTATATGGCAGAGAGAGAGAAAGAGATAAATATTTAGTAGTTTTAATATATTTTTTAATTATTCCAGGGAGAGCTCATCTAAGAGAAGCGCTAATGCTGTATGAAGAAGCTCAACGACAACATCGGATGTGTAGGGAATTAAAAGGAAAGCAAGCCCTTACATCGGTGTTGAGAACAGCGCATAAAATTGCGTTAAATGCTTACACAGGAACAGAAACCGAAGATGACTTTAGTGACCTGCTCGATCCTCCTCAGATACAAGGTAAACATTGACATTTATATTGTATAGTTGTATCTATGTTTATAATAATTAACAGTGTCAATCTAGTATTTTTATTTTCTTTATATAAAAGTAACACAAACGGTATTCTGAAAATAGATAATTGTTTTGTAATATTTTCGTTTTCGTATATATTCTCTTCTGGCAATCAAGCATCGATATGACTATTTTTCGTTTTGGTTTTGTTCATTGGTCAAATTGTTTTATGGAAATTAAATTTCTCATCTTTTAGCCATAAGCTACTTTATCTCTGTACTATTTTTTCTTTGCTTGCCTCATCTTTGCTCCCTATTTCTAATTTCCATATATACAGTACAGTTATATAAGTAGTTCTGTTTCTTTTTTCATAGGTCCTCGTTTTTTCATGATTTCTATAACCTCATATAAGTCACGTAGTTCTTTTTGTAGTAAAAATGGTTTTACATGCTATAAACGACCATCTTAGGCTCTTTATTTGAGTTTATTTCTATTTTAGTGAATTTTTTGTTAATTTTTTTTTGATAACCTAATCTTTTTTGGTCTTCTTTTTAGAGTAACGTCTCCTTGGGGAGGTTGGCAATTATAATGGCGATTTTTATTTTGGTACTTGCTGCTGTAAACAAATTGATCGATCTACATTGATACTAATCACGTGGATTCTTCAATCAGGAATTATGCCTCCTGTATTATAAGTCTTAAAATTTTATGTTTTGGTCCTCTCTTGACCAACCCTCTCAAGTACTTCTTTATTTATAATTCTATTAGTCCATGATATTTTTAATATTTTTTCGGTGGGGCATTTTAATTGGGTTACGTGCCGTGTTCTTCTATAGGGATTTTCAAATTTTGACAGTTGGTAGCAGCCGTAAATTTAACTCTACGTCAACTAAACCCCAGTACAAAGGGTAACGCACTAGAACTACCTTCAACCAGATCGAGTTCTTCAAAAACCACAGCCTTTCTCTCTCTTGGTATAAAAGTAAGAATGCTGTAATTCTACGTCTTCCTGTTGTGTTTTATGGTGTTGAATCGTCGATCTTGGACGAAGATATTTACAGAAGTTTGTCAGCATTTGAGATCTGGCTATATCGGTGAATATCTAAGTACCTGTAAACTGACCAAGTCACAAATGAGGAGGTCCTCAAAAGAATGAGAACTGAGAGTTACTGACCACCATCAAATCTTGGAAGATACAATACTTCGGGCATATTATGTTAAATGAAACCAAATATGCCCTCCTACAAGCCTTACTGCAAGGAAAATTATTTAGAAGGCGAGATCCAGGTAGAGAAAGTACACCCTGGTTAAAGTACGTAAGAACCTGGTTCAACACAACATCTTGCTCACAACAACTATGTCTTTCACAGTTCACAACTTGATAAATTTTGCATCGTGATTTTGGCCCACCCAGGAGCTGAAGGTAAACAACCATAGGCAACCACCTATGTTCGCTGAAATGGTTCTGAAGTAGTTTAAAACTGCACAACTTTCATAGAAAAACAATCTTCAACCTGAAAGCCCATTTTTGGATGAATGGGTACTTTAACAAACGATCTGTTCGAGCGATTTGGGGACATTGTCATTTCAAGTGGAGATGGCCAAATCGTACGTTCTTAATGACTTACTGGCCACTAAGAACGTATGATTTGACCTCGTTAGACTCTTTCTTCTTGTGGGATTTTCTTGAAAAGTCGCCGGTCTATGCAAATAAGGTTTAGAGACCTTAAGTCAACATAATCCATGCCATCTGTCAAATTCAGCCTGATTTATATGCCCGAGTCATAAAAAATTGCACATTCTAGATGCTCATTACACAGCGGTATTGTAGTGGATACTTAAACGATGTTGTATTCGTTAGTCATGCATCTCAATGAGTATTGGGCCGTCTACTAGTTTGGTTGTGTCTAATGTATGTTCTAGTTAATTTTAAAACTGCTATAGTTCTTCTTCATATTTATCTATATATTTCTAGAGTTGGAACAGTCATAAAACAGAAAGTAATCCAACCATAACTAATAAGAAGACAGATTGGGAAAGTTTTAAATTAAATCTTAAAGAAAACATTAATCTGGCTGTTAAGTCTGTTTTAGACTATAACATAAAATGATATAAGAAAATGATATAACAAGAACTTACATGAAATGATTGTGTACAATATTAATATAACAAGTTTTATGTATTACATTGTCACATTTTGGTATCAAAATATGTTACGTGATTCTGCGCATTACGTGATAAAACAGTCCTTTTTTAAAATTGTTATGTTGTTGTACATGTACTGTTAACCTCAATGTTCTTATTCTTCATTTTTTTATCGTAACGTAACCTCATTTTCTCCAACATTTAACCTAGTTTTTTACCCACGTAAATACCTAATTAGTTTTACCCTCGTTTTACTTTTGCTTTAACAAAGACATATATATTTATGATGGATAAGAAAATTCTCCTATTATCTGCTGATTCCATTACGACATTTCCTTTAATTCAGACAAGCAAGAAAAAAGGCCAACGAAATATGTGGCCTAGAGCTGGCTTCAAAAAAGACAGGAAGGTCGTGTTGTTTTAAGTATGTTGTAAACTGAATTAAAAGACAATGATTCTGAAAAATATAGACAATTTTTAAGAATGTGTAAGCCACAATTTAATGAACTTCTTGAACTTATTCGAGAAGATATTACCAAATAGGATACAAAATTGTAACTGCGCATGCGTGTATACTAATAATTGGTATCAAAATAGGACATGTTCTAATTTCTATAACATTTTTTGTTAACAGATTTTGTTTTCTGTTTTACATTATGACAAAACTTAGTATAACATTTTCTTATATCATTTTATGTTATAGTTTAAAACAGTCTTTACACATCTCGGAACATCTGGAGAATAAAATAAAATAATTAATGTAAAATATTCAGCAAGAAGCATGTCATATTTTTTCAAAAGTAAAAGGAAATAAAATTAATGGGAAAACCCCCGTAGTTGGCTGTATACCATCGTTAAAAAAAACCCAGAAGTTAAAACACTTCACACTTATATTGTGGTATAAAAAACAAATAGTTAAAACTTTTTAAAAAAGTGTCGTCAACATTTAAGTACTATCATAACGGTTTCGATCTGAACAGATCATCCTCAGTGCCTTCTGTAATTGAAGCTAACAATAAAGTTATCGGTGAGACCTCCATATATGAGTTTACATCATTTCAAATGTTACATTTTAATTATGTTGTGACTTTAGGTCGATGACAATGGATAAATTTTAATAACTTTAGGGATTACATCCCCTTACGTCCCCTTGTTCGATTTTTAACTCGATAACTTTTGTTTGATTGTCAGCTACCTGACAATAATGAGGCTATAAGACAAATAAAAAAGAAGAGACCCTGTTAAATATAACTTGATTATTGGTCATGCATGACCAGATTGCAACAGTGATATACTGCAAGATAGTTCTTAATAAAAAGATAAATAGACGACGTAGAGAGGGAACTTGAAACTATGAACATCAGGCAGTGGCGAAGGAAAGTATCCGACAGGGTAGAATGGAAGAACATTGTTAAGCAGGCCAAGACTCACAAAGGGTTGTAGCGCCATTAGAAGAAGAAGAAGTTCTAAATAAAAAACTCTATCTAAGTTCGGTTTGAAACTGCAATATTTTACCTAAAAGAAGCCAACTAGTTTTCTTATTCTTGGAGTGCCATTTCCCTACAGAACGACAACTGCCATGATTATAACATTTTTATATTGATCTCAATGTTATGGTATGTTTAGCAATTGATTTGCTGTTAAACTTGCCCAGTGTCGCAAATTCCTCTGCCAGAAGAGTTTCGGTCACTAGCTGATCATCATCTATTTTTCCTCTTTTCAACGACTTCTCCTTACCAAAAGATATCTACTCTTCAGCACATTTAAAATATTGTTTTATAGATACTCTAACATAAAAACTTAGTAATAGGAATCTTCTTATTGCACCGTCTCCTTTCGAAGGTTGGCGATCCAAATGGCAATTGTAGCCTTGAAAACTGCTGCACGAAAGATTTCTATCTATGAGGGGTCAAACCATCTCCTCAGGTCTTTCAGCCACGAGTTTTGGCATCTTCCAACTGATCTTTTGCCCTGCCTTTGCCTTCCAATCTAATTTGGAGTAATTCATATCTTTCGCATCTCAACACATGACCCAAATATTGTATTTTTTTCTCTTTGATAATGCTGAGTAATTCTTTTTGTTTACTGAATAACAGGAATGCTATTACATAATCTCTGAATTTATTGATTTAAATTTTCAGCCTCAACCAAGTTTCAGCTTTCTCTGACACCACCAGACTTTGCACAGTATCGCGTAACAGATCTGTTTAGAAGTCTGGGACCGATTGCCATTTTTTCAGCAAAAAGACACTGGACCGCTCCGAGGCTAGTTCAGCTCCATCGAGGAAGAACCACCGATGGATTTGGCTTTTCTCTCCGTGGTGATGCTCCAGTGCTTGTAGCTGTGGTCGAGGCTAATTCCTTGGCAGAGGTAAGATTTATTTATTACTTATTTAATATTGTACTACAAATTGTATTAACTGTGATATATTGTATAACTTTGTGGAAAAGTTAGGTTAGTTTAAAAATAATGGGTTGTTGGATTTGAAATTAAAGAAAATATTTTGTTAGAGCGGTATCCACTAATATTAAAATAGTCGCAATTTTTTTAATACCAGGATAAGAAGCAGTTTATAAAAATACTAAATACTTAAAAGTAATAAATGAAAACCGTATCCGTCTATTGATTGAAATAAACATATCAAATTTTTTAAGCCCTTTTCTCTATTCGGATTGCCGAATATAGGCCTCTTCTAATTCTCGCCATTCATCTCTGTTGTTTGGGTAACGTTTTCACATTGGTACTGCAGTTCTTTTATTATCGTTGCTCCAGCGCATTTACGGTCTTCCTCGTGGCCTTTTGGCTTCATTTGAGTGCCAATTCCCGATTTCCTTATTCCATTGGCCATCCTTAAGACGTTCGTTATGTCCAACCCATTTTCAATTCAGTTTATCTGCCTATTCGACAGCATCTTTTACTTTTGTTCTATTACAAATGTAATAGAACAAAGATCTAGTTTTTCTGATCTTCTACATGTTTATTTTAGTGAATGTCCAGGTTTGGGCTCCATATACAGGTAGGATACAGGAATTAACACTTAGGTTTGCAGTCTTTGAGGTAAATTTTTATTTTTAACTACATATGAGAGTCTTCCGAATGCTGTCTATCCCAATTTTAGACATCTGCTTATTTCGGTAGTCTGATTTTCTTTGCTTACCTTTACATTTTGACCCAGATATGTATATTCATCTATACGTGTTTTATCTCTGCCTCTTGGATGTTTATCATATGTTTGTCATCTTTGTTCGACATTAGTTTAGTTTTGCTGAAATTCATTTTCAGTCTTTTTTTAGTGATTCTGTATGTAGCTCTTCAATCGTCGTATTCAGTGCATTCCACGTGTCGGCTATTAGTACTACATCATCTGCGTATCTAAGATGGTTTAAGTATCTTCCATTAATAGGGATTCCCTTATTTTTTCAGTCTATTGACTTCTAAGATATCTTCTAGTGCAGCTGTAAATAAATTTGGAGATATTGTGTCTCCTTGACTTAAGCCTCGGTTGATTTTTACTGGTCTTGTTTCGATGCCATTACCCAACGTCACTATCATTTCAGCTTGTTCGCAAATATTATGTATTAATATTCTGTACCTGGAGTCGATCGGGTTGTTGACTAATGCTTCTTCTATTGCCCAAAGTTCTACACTATCAAAAGCTTTTTCATAATCTATAAAAGCCAGACATAATGTTTTCTATTTTCTATTTTCTATTAGGATTTTCCAAGTATATAGATGGTCACAGGTGCTGTACCCTTGTATAAATCTGGCTTGTTCTACTGGTTGATATCCGTCAAATTTAATTGTTAAAAACATATATATGATAATTATATTGAATGTTTTGTCATCTTCAGATTTATTAATATCAGCAATTTTTTATTCATCATCATCAATTAAGTGGAGAAATTTTATTAAAATCAGTAAGCGAACTGTTTACTAAATGCTTACATGCGGGTACGATTCCAAAAGACTGGAACAATGCAGTAATAGTCTTGTTACACAAAAAAGGCGATATTACTAAATTAGAAAATTATAGACCCATCAGCCTCTTGACACATATGTACAAACTCTTTATGAAAATCTTAACAAAGAGGCTAACACCTAAACTTGATTTCTATCAGCCCAAAGAACAGGCAGGCTTTAGGGCAGGATATGGCACAAATGACCATTTGCATACCATAAAGATCTTAATAGAAAAGTGCATCGAGTACAACATACCACTGGTTCTTGCATTTGTCGATTACGAGAAGGCTTTTGATTCTGTAGAGTTTGAAACAATATTGGAAGCCCTAAATGAAAGCCGAATAGATTACAGGTACACGACACTAATCAAAAACATCTATCAGAACGCTACATCAAGTATACGACTGCACGAAGACACAGAAAAATTCAGCTTAAGTCGAGGAGTTAGACAAGGAGACAATACAGTCCTCTCTCTCTATAACGATATGCAAGGGACCGGGAATTTTCATCGTTATAAGGAGAGATCGTTATACAGAGAGAGACAAAATTCGGTACTGTAATATTAATAATACTGTACTAAATAACCTATTTTAATTTAAAAAAATTATCAAAACGAATATAAATGACTTAACATTGTATTCCACATAGATTTATTAACGAATAATGAATAATAATAATAAAACATGTGTACTGTACAATAAAAAAATAAAATGCTACTGTAAAATATATTTAGCCTACATTATCAAAAAAATCTGTCACCTTGGTCTGTCTTCTTTTCCCTTTCCACAGAACTGACCTGACCTTGTCCTGAAGACGCATCGAATCTTCTACAGCACTCATATCGTCTTTCTGGTGGATGAAAAATCGATGCAGTACTTTTGCCGCATTCAATGCCTGCTGAGGGGTCGGAGCTGGGTCTGACTCTGCTTCCACTTCAGAGTCACTGTTTTCTTCTTCTTCTACACGAACTGCTTGCAGGATGTCCTCGTCAGAAAGTCCAGATGTTGTCGCTACATTTTTATCAACTTCTTCAAAATCTGTTAGCTCTTCCGATCCGTAGGTGATAGTAAATTCAAACTGTCTGGCCCAAACATCTAATGGCAGGTCATCTTCATCATAAGCCAATCCTTGATCTTCCAGCCATTCTGCGTGTTTGAAGGAATCTAGTATTGTATTACTCGTCACCTCGTCCCAGGATTTACTAATCATTAGGATGGCGTCAAGAATGTTTAGTTTAAGATCGCCATTATTCTCAACCAATTCCATCAAAAGTCTTCTCCTGTAATGGTTTTTTAAACTCTTGATGACACTTTGGTCCATGGGCTGAAGGACACTCGTTGTGTTTGCTGGCAGAAAACAGAGTTCGATGTTTTGAAGGTCGTGCAATACAGGATGAGCAGGACAATTGTCTACAAGCAAAAGAATTTTTTTAACTTTAAGCTCGATATCCCACTTTCTTATCGCTTCTTCAAAAATTTCCGAGGTCATCCACGCACTCTTGTTTGCTTTATATGTCACCGGTAGATTTTTTATGTTTTTAAAGCAACGCGGGTTTTTCGACTTCCCTATCACTAACAATTTTCGCTTCACCGAACCTGTCATGTTAGCGGCTACTAAAACTGTAATGCGTTCCTTAGAGAGCTTTCCACCAACGCACTTTTCCAATTTAAATTTTAAAGTTCTGTTGGGTGTCATTTTAAAAAACAATCCAGTCTCATCCGCATTGAAAATGTCGTCTGACGCATATCGTGCCTTCAGTCCAGGCCACACGTTTTCTAGCCAATGGTCCGTTACGTTTTTGTTAACATTGCGAGCCTCTCCGCTGATTTGGCCGTAGTTGATCTTGTGCCGCATCTTCCACTTGCTCAGCCAACCCTCAGATGCCTTAAAATTGGTTCATACGCTGCTGCTGGAACCACTGAAGCATAGCGCGATCTAAATCTTCATGCTGATGTTTCCGCAACTTCTTCCTGCTACCGCCCTCCATCTCCGATTTAAGCCACTTTTTTCTGTCCTTCCATATCGTAGCCACAGTTGACTGAGACAGCCCCGTCCGGCGAACGACATCCGATTGCTTTTCACCTTTCTCTCTTGCTCGAGTTATCGATAGTTTTTCCTCCACCGAGAGCACTTTACGCTTTTTTGAAAACATGTTGACTGTTGGCACACTAAGACGCAACTCAAACTGGAAATTAAAAGTCGTCAATAGATGACAACATCTGTGTGATAACAGTTAATTACGCCGCCCGAACAATAAACGTCAATTAACCCTCTGATAAGAAAGAGTGTATGCCGCATTCCTTAAACGCAAAACAAAAAAACCGCTGAACAATGACCTTTTCATTCGTGACTCAGGTAGTCTAAACTTTAAATACAATAACACATTTGTCATCAACTATTCAACGCTAAAAAAGTTATCGCTATAAAGAGAGATTGATATCGGTATAGAGAAAGAATTAATACATTGTTCTTATGACGAACCAACCAACGTTTACTATTTTCATCGTTATAGAGGAATTATCGTTATATAGGGAATCGTTATAGAGAGAGACTACTGTATTTCACCAAAATTGTTCACGGCAGCTCTAGAGTCAATATTTAAGGGTACTCAATGGCAAGATATGGGCATCAATATAGATGGAGAAAGATTAAATCACCTAAGGTTTGCAGATGATGTTGTATTAATCGCAGATAACTTACATGATACAGTTTCTATGATGCATTCGCTTAAAAGTCTGTCTGAAAGAGCAGGATTAAAGATAAACTTTGAGAAAACTAAAATTATAACAAATCTCGTAATGAGTGGAAATATAACTATTGACAATAATACCATACAACAAACAGACACTTACAAATATCTGGGACACGAAATCAAAATAAGCAGAGACAATCAAACACATGAAATACAGAGGCGAATAGGTCTAACATGGGCAGCATTTGGCAAATTAAGCCATATTCTAAAAAGTTCAATTCCCATGTGTCTCAAGCGAAAGGTTTATAACCAATGTGTTTTACCTGTACAAACTTATGGAGCAGAGACTTTAACACTCACGCAAAAATCTGCGAATAAACTTAGAGTTACACAACGAGCCATGGGACGTGCAATGCTGAACGTGAGCCTTCGAGACCACATAACAAACCAACAAATCAGGCGAAGATCAGGAGTTCAAGACGTCATCGAAAGAACCACGACGCTTAAGTGGAACTGGGCAGGGCACTTAGCCAGAACACAAGATGGACGGTGGACAAGACGTATTATGGAATGGAGGCCCAGAAATTATAAAAGAAGCCGAGGACGACCACCGACTAGATGGACCGATGACATTAAACGTGTAGCGGGAAACTGGCTACAAGCGGCCCAGTGTAGAGAACACTGGAAAGAACTGAGGGAGGCCTATGTCCAGCAGTGGACGCGATTGGCTGATTGATGATGATGATGATCATCAATTAGCCTATGTTTGTCCACTGCTGAACATAGACCTCCCGTAAAATTTTCCACCTATTTTTGTCTTGAGCTCCTTGCATCCACTTTGTGGTGATGCGCTTGATATCATTCGTCCATCTAGTCAGTGGTCGTCCTCTGCTTTGATATGCATCTTGCCTTGGTCGCCACTCCAGAATCTTTTTGGTCCTCTGTCATCCGTTAATCTGGCAACATGTCCGGCCCAAGCCCATTTAGCCCTGGCTATTTTTTCAACTGCATCTGTGACTCCTGTTCTTCTTCTTATTTCTAGGTTTGGTACTTTATCTCTGATGGTAATACCTAATATTGATCTTTTCATAGCGCGTTGTGTAAATCTTATTTTATCTATTGTTCTTTTTGTCAGAGTCAGTGTTTCTGCAATATATGTAAGAACCGGTAAAACGCACTGGTTAAAAACCTTTCTTTTTAAATAAACTGGGATACTAGTTTGTACACTTCAAAATATTATTTAATCTACCAAAGGCAGCCCATGTGAGACCTATCCTTCTTTGTATTTCAGTTGTCTGATTATCTCGGCCTAGGCGAATCTCATGCCCTAGATATTTGTAAGCTATTACTTGGTCGATGCTATGGCTCTCAATCAGAATTTTACCGTAAAAATTTTTTATTAGGTATTATTTATTGCTGAATCTATACTTACCTTTTTATTTTTCAGTTTGGAGGAATTAAAGAGGGCGATTTCATTGTCGCGGTGGCCGACAAGGATGTGAAATGGTCCTCGCACGACGAAGTAGTAACGCTCATCAAAAACGCTGAAGAATCTCTAAATCTCAAGCTGGTTACTCCAATGGATAGAAACTATCTAAAGGTATGATTATATATATTTTTATTGTTTTTTATTTAAGAAAATTAGCAAGATAGTCGAATCCCGATACCATCATTATCATCATTCTGGCTTTATAACCCTGCGTGGGCCCTAGCCTCCTCAAGAATTCGTCTACAGCGTCTCTATCCATCACCTTTCTCCGACAAGCACATATTCCCATATTCCTCATGACTTCATCGATATTATCAAGGGACATTGTTCTGGATCTTCCTCTTTTCGTCTGTCCAATGGGTGTATCATCCTTTTGTTCCATCCGCATTTCATGCCCTATCCACCTCAGACATCCTATCTTAATATGTTCGATATTAAGTTCCTGGTCTATTCCATAAAGTTTGAAGTTGTATCGTCTTCTCCACACTCCATTGTCATTCACTGCTCCATATATTCGCCTTAGTACTTTTCTTTAGGAATATCCTAACATGTTTTCATTATTAGAGTCCAGGTCTCTGAACCATAGAATAGAATAGAATAAAATTTATTTAATCAATATACAAAAATAGTTTTGTTTTTGATAAGTCAAAGGAATGGTGACAATACTTATAAAACATATAAAAATTTTTTGGATAATTTAAACATTACAAACATGTATGTATTTAATATTAACAGTTAAAAAAAAACGACAAACACACTTTGTGGAATTATAAAAAAACATGAAATATAAGGTTTGTTCCAACCAGAGTCAGAAACAAGTTGCAGACGTCAGGATTCTGCGCAATAACATAAAAGCGTTCCAACCGAAATTACAAACAGTCAGCAAGCAAATAGTTTCCTGTTCCAACCACACCAACAACTTGTTTGCTGATAGTCAAAACAGTTTGCGGATTTTCTTTGGACAAGAAATTTGGGGCATGCGTAGTACCGTTTAATAGTCGATTGGTTTGTCAATTGTCAACGGAACGGTTCTGTTTACTGTTTACAAATTGTTCTATGAACTTAACCCTAGTCGGGAACGCCGAATGCTTAGGTTAAAGTTTGTTTACCAATATAAATATTTTATTTGAGTTTTACTTAAAGTGGTAACGTGATTATATCATTTGGGTATATATTGGGTATTTATTTAAAATCTGTAAAAATTACTGACACTGAGTCGTTTGGTAAAATGTGTGTAAACAGTCAGTCGCTCAATCACAAAATAAAAGCAGAAATGAGAGGATGGATATGACAACAAACAACAGACAATTGACAAATTGTCGGTTGTTCCAACTACCTATCACTAATCAATCAGGAAGTCAGATATTTGATGACATGCGCAGTGGGAACAATCCACAAACTGTCAGAAACTTGTCTGTGATTCTTGGTTGGAACAAACCTATAATTATAATAGGCAACTGCCCTGACCAAACTAGTACTATTGTGTAAAAGCTGTACTTAAGTACTTCGTTTTTGAATAGAAACAATGTTTCAAAAAGTGTGATTTGATTTTATGCTTAAATGATAACAAGTGAAGACTTTTTACTTCATCTGGCAAAAAGTTATACAAACTAACGTCAGTCGAATTTTTTACGCTCTTTGTCAACCTAAAACGTTGTGCTCTAATAGCATCTCTAGATCTTGTATCGTGATCATGGACGTTGGAGTTTACGTTAAACTTACCTTTGTTGGTATGAATTTCAATCAGCGTCTCATATATATAGAGTGAAGGTAGTGGCATAATACCTAAATCCAGAAATAAAGGTTTACAGTGTTCCCTATACTCTGCTGTTGCAAGTATCCTCACTACTCTTTTTTGTAATTTAAAAATTCGATCTGCGTAAGAAGAATTACCCCAAACAGTTATACCGTACTGTAAATGGCTATGAAATAGTGCAAAGTAGCACATTCTAAGGGTATTTTTAGGAATCATATAAACTAAGTTGCGTATTAAAAATATACTTGTAGCAAGTCTAGAACTTAAGTAATCTATATGAGCACTCCAATCCAAATTATCGTCTATAAAGATTCCTAATAGTTTAACACTATTTCTTAAGATATACTTCCAATCAGAACTAAAAATCAAATTCTGATTTTTCTCTTCATTTAGCTTTAGCCCCTTATGTGAGAACCAGTTTTTTGCTTTCTTGGTATCACTATCTATTTTAATGTTTAAATTATTCTGATTAATATCAGTATTTATGAGAGTTGTATCATCTGCGAAGCAAACACATTTTATAGGAAAAGTGTAGTGAAATAAATCGTTCAGATAAATAAGAAACAAAGTGGGTCCTAATATCGAACCTTGAGGTACACCATATTCGACAGTGTTAAACTCAGAATAGCTGTTATTAAGAAAAACTGCCTGTTTTCTATTTGTTAGGTATGATCTAAATAGATTAAGAGTGTTTCCCCTAATACCGTACTTATGCATTTTTTTCCAACAGTAATTCATGCGAAACACAGTCAAAAGCTTTGGATAAGTCACACAAAGACACAAAATCACCTTCCTCCAAGCCATCAACTATATCTCTCACAATTTTCTGTATAGCTAGTGTAGTGCTACACTTTTTTCTAAAGTCATATTGATTACAGTGAAGTATTTTGTGTTTTTCCAGATATTCTACCAAACGAACATTTAGAATACTCTCAAAAATTTTGCCGAAAATGGGAATGATTGAGATGGGACGGTAATTTCCAATTTCATTTAAAGCTCCCTTTTTGAACACTGGTAGCACTTTTGTTACTTTTAAAACATCTGGGAAAATCCCCTCAGTAAAACAATTATTATAAAGTATAATAATACTTTAATTTTACTTTTAATAATTCTTTAATAATACTTTTATAATAATAATCCATATGTTAGGACTGGGCGTATTATTGCTTTGAAGAGTTTTATTTATCTATTTCTCGATATAATTGTGGATTTAAAGAGGAAATTAAGCTCAAAATAGCATCTGTTTGCCGTGCAAATTCTGTAGTTTATCTCTGCGGCAGTATTATTTTCAGTGTTAAGGAGCGCTCCCAGGTATACAAATTTGTTCACTGTTTCGATGACATCGTTTTCTATAACAAAGGTCGTAGGATTGGTGGTTGCGTGCTTATTTTCATATGCTTCGTTTTGTTGGTGTTTATTATTAAACCCATTTTTGTAGCTAATTCTTTTAATGCTACAGACGCCTCTTGTACAGCGTTTTCCGTTTTCCCAACAATATTGATCCCCGATACATACCTCCCGAAAAATTAAGCTGTCATTAACAATTGGCTTAATGCCAAACATTAAGATTTGTTTATACAGGGATGAATGCCTTACCACCCGGCTTTTTAACGTAAGAGATAGAAAACACAGTTATCTTGTGAAATAAAAAGAGATGAAACTCGTCGAGGTGGGAAATAATCGATACAAACCTATAATTACCATTACATTACATAACCACATTATCGATAATCTCACACCTTTAGACGTTAGCTTCGAGCTAACTAGTATTAGAAGTGTTTAAAGTTGCTTTAAAACCGGGGAAAATATCGGAAAGGATACAAAACACAGTGATTTGTGAGATAGTACCTACGAGATAAAGACGTGGCTATTTGACTTCAGTCATAATTATACGGATGACCTCGAAAATATTTTTTTTAATAATTTCAGATGTTAGAATAAATGATTGAATAAATTAAGATATATTATATAGTAAAAAACAATAATTAGTAACGATTTTAAATTATAAATATTTAAGTGTATTTAATAATAAAAATAACTAAACTTAAATATTTGACTAAATAAAGGTAGGTATGTTCTGTCCGAAAACAATTATTGTATGTGGAATTGGTGTATTAGTTAGAGACTTGGTCTATTGACATGAAGATTGGGGTTCAATTCATACCTAGGATAAAATTTTGTTTTACTCAATCAAAAAATAATAGAAAATATGATACATACTAAGTAACAAGTTTTCTAAAAACTCATTATTTACAATTTATTCTTATTTCAATGTTATAAAGCGGAAATACAAAATAATTCTGTTTATGACTGTAATGACTGTTTATGTCAAATCCATCACTAAATTCTCAGTGTTAATATCAATTCCTCTGTACAGGTAATGATTTACAAAACAATTGACAACATTGGAATAGATGCGCGCGAAGCGAAGCCTTCAAGCCATCAAATAATAACATATCGAGAAGTGTTTTTGCACAGTAAACAGAAATTTTTTAGGGAAAAAAACAATTCGTGAAAATGGTTTTAACGGTCGAGGAAAAAGTGCAAATTGTTGTCTGGCATGTGAATGGATTAGACATTAGATTAGAAATCTCAGACAACATGATTAGATAACAATTTGTAAATATGTTTCCAAATAGGCCGGCTCCAGCATGATCAACAATTCATTCTATTATACGTATTTTTTTTACTTATGGATTCGTGTTTGCTCTAATAGGAGTTCGTAGACGAAGAGAGGTAAATCCAGATTTGGAACTAAGAAACACTTTGATTTGTGCAAGTATTGAGCAAAATGCTAACCAATCAACATCTTGTCTCGGAGAACAATATGGAATTTCAAGATTTAGAGTTGGTAAAATTTTGAAAAGACATGGTACCGTCCTATAAACTTCATAAATCCAACGAACAATTCCCTGGGGATCAATATAGACGTTTAGAATTTTGTCAAACTACAATGGAGATGTCAGATCAAGATGAACATTTTTTAGAGAACGCTTTGTTCACCGATGAATGTACGTTTTCATTGAATGGCCATCACAATTCAATGAATGCTCGGTATTGGTCTCGAGGAAATCCTCGTCAGATTTATGTCGCTCGTACCCGGCGTCCTCGAAAAGTAAATGTTTGTCCTGCACATAATTCTCGCATCATCAGTGAATATCTCAGTGCGACTTTTCCTAATCGATTGATTAGTGGCCACGGAAATATTTTTTTGTCTGAAAGATCAACTGATCTTGCACCTTGTCATTTTTTTATGTGGGGATATATCAAGTCCAAATTATGTGGAATTGAAGATGATAGGCCTAATTCTCTCCAAGAATTAAGAGAAAAGATCTCTGATTCAATGAGAGGTATTAGTCCTGAAACATTAACTAATGTTAGACGAAACTTTTATAATAGATTGGGTTATTGTTCTGCTGCTAATGCAGGCTTATTCGGACATTTTTTGTAAATACATTTCAGATGTTTATGTTTAACTTTAAACACTTCAAATACTAGTAACGACTAACATAAATGTTTAGTGATTCAAAGCAAAACGATCTCTGCATAATTTCAAATTCTTAAAAAAAAAATAAAAAAAAACCACATGTAGGTTTTGAACTCTAATCGTCTGCGTCGCAGTGTCGAATTCTTAACACTAATCCACGAAGGATTGCTAATTATTCCGTGACAAGAGTGTATGAAACTCCTCAAATCATAGTAGAAATCATTCTTGGTTAATAATTTAAAACTTTAGAATAAATAATCACTATTAATTAAATTATTTTATTCACATTTTTGCTTTATTGTGGTCAATCAGTTTCTACTTTATGCGAAATTAAAAAATGGAAATACGTAACACATACGACGTCACACATAATAATTATGGATGAGGTGATTTAGCTCGAAGCTAAAGGTGTGAGATAGTGGTAATGTAATGTAATGTAAATTATAGGTTTCTATCGATTATTTCCCACCTCCACGAGTTTCATCTCCTTTTATTTCACAAGGTAACTGTGTTTTCTATCTCTTACGTTAAAAAGCCGGGTGGTAAGGCACTCATCACTGTATATCAGCAAATACTGTTTTCGATACATTGTGTAGAATTCTTTTTTTTTTGCATTTTTATACAAAGAAAGAATAGTAATTTTCATTTTATATTATTTATCGACAGATTTTTAATCTCTTCTTTTTGTTAGTAACGGATAGCTTTTCTCTTTTTGCTCTTCTTCTTAAGGTGATTTCTCCATTACTGAAGGTTGGCTATAACTACAGCAAATTGCTCTCTATCTTGAGCTGTTCTTAGTATCGAGTCTCTGTTCATGCCTATCCAGTCTTTTACATTCTTCAACCAGTAACATTTTCTTCTTCCTGGACCTCTTCTTCTTTCCACTTTCCCACTTCTACTTTTTGCTTACGGAACATAAATCTGAATTATACTCTTGTCTTCATACCGCCGATTTGAAAGTGTTTTGTTATCGAAGATGTGATACTATATCTCCATTCTTAATTATGTTTATTAGAGTAACCTAGATCGATGGGTGAATAAGGCCTTGAAGTCCTTTGCCCATGTAATAGTAGGAGGTTTATAAATATTTGTAATCTCTGTTTTTTTTTTAATTTTGGTTACGACCGAATGTATATTATGTTTTATGGTGGAAGAAATAAAGTTGCCGTTTTCTACGAAGTTTTTTACTTATATAACAATACCATAAGCATGGTGATAGGTTGCTAACAGATCACCCTTTTATTTCTACTCTTTTTCTCTTCCAGTTACTGATTGTGTTCTTGCCTACTCCGATAGCCATAGATACCTTGCCATGTAAAATAAACAACAACACAGCGCATTCTACCAAACCTTAACAAAATAAGGTTGTAATACGCACTGACTATGTAGTGTGCCAGTGATCACTGTGACATGCACTGACTAAGGAATGTGGCCGGTGGCGTCGGGAGTGAGAAATAACACTCCACGGGGGTATTCATAAAGCGCATCTTGACCTTGTCTGGAAATGTGTAATGAACCTTAATGCTGCCTTTTAATTGCTTAATTAATCATCCGTCAAACCGGCCGGCAATGGAATGCACAGCTATATCTTAGAATTAAATGCCATAACTCGTATTTAGTGCCAAAATTGGTCAGTGAATTTACATATTTCATGAAAGATAGATGCAAATAATAATAATATTGTTAATATGTTGTGCGAGGAAGAGGAACAACAAAATTAACTTCCAAAAATGAAGCGTAAGTAGGTAAGAAAATTCGTAAAAATCCTGAAACGCGAAAATGCAAATTTTATCAATAAAACATTTTCTTCTTCAAGTTCCACTATATCGGAGATTCTAAATCATTCTAGCAATTATAATTTTATTGGTTACTCGCCTGAATAGTTCAATTAAACTGCATCCAAACCATTCACGGAGATTGCGTAGCCACGAGATTTTACGTCTTCCTACGCTTCTTCTACCTTTGATTTTACCCTGCATTATATTCCCTAGTGGTTCGTACTTTTCACCTCTCATTATGTGCCCCAAGTATTCCAATTTCCTGATTTTTATGGAATTTAAAACTTCGCATTGTTTTCCTAGTTGTTCGAGAACTTGTTCGTTTGTTTTGCGATCCATCAATGATATTTTTAAAATACGTCGGTAACACCACATTTCGAATGCTTCTAGGTTTTTAATGTTGGATTTTTTATGTGTCCAAGCTTCAACTCCATACAAAAGGGTAGAGAAAATATAACATCGAAGCATTCTTATCCGTAGCGATATATTGATATGGCGATTACAAAAAAGTTTTCTCATTCTATTAAAAGTTGATTGCGCAATTTCAATGCGGCATCTTATTTCTTTTGTCTGATCAGTATCTTCTGTGATCCATGCTCCAAGGTATTTGTACGAAGATATTTGTTCAATTTCTGTATTATCTAGTACTAGCTTAACTTTGATGTTTTGTGCTTTTGTAAATAAAATAAAACATGACTTACGAAAAATATCAAGAAATGTTATCACTTGTAAAAACCGATCTCCCAAAATAAAATACAACATTTGAGAACTCTAGTGCGCCCTAATTCACTTAAATACTAATTATATACATATAATACGCTGACTCTAAAACTAATTGTGTTGCTACTAAACATATTTTTGAAAATGGCTCTTGATAATGCACAACACGTTACATGTTATTTACTTCAAAAAATTCTAAAATTAAAACATTCTAAATTCCAAAAATGCCTCATGTCTCATCTAGTATCTTTTTTCAGCCATCAAAAGCACCAAGTACAAACAAAGGCTCAGTATCGACTCATAGCAGCAGTTCGGGAGTCTCAAGCGGAATGTCTAGTCCATCCGGTTCAATGGCGCAACATAGCAACACCAGCAATCAGAAGAGGTTGAATTGGAATCCCTTTAAACGACACTCATCATCCAGAGAAGGAAAAGATTTTTACGAAAATGTGATCTTACGATGAGAATATTTTGTTTTATCTCTTATTTATTTATCGAAATTGTACATTTTATTCCAAGTTAGGTTAGTTTTTGTCGTCGGACGGTACTGAATTAAATAATTGTATCAATGTCAAAAAATGTATTTTTGTATGTTTCTCCATATTCATAATTTAAAAAAATACGATTAACTAAAAGAACTCGTATTTACATTGTAACGAAGTTGTTTGTAACACTAGTTTAATTAATCGAAAGCAAATAGTCTGTATTACAATTATTTAAATAATATTAATACACAGATTGAAAATCGGTTATCAGTCAGCGAGAAGAAACTCCTTCGTCTTATCTGTGACAATTTTACTTATTGTGATACATATCCACCATTTATGTATTTTTTTGTAGTGTCTGTTTCCCAAGTTTTAAGTTTCTTAGGTATGTTCGTTTCTCGCCAGAAGAGCGCCATAAAAGTTTTATTACTACGCTGTACAAAAATGTGCTTTCATTGTACAGTAACTAAATGTTCCATCTTTTATCAATCATTCTAAAAGCATCTTTCCATCAGTCTAAAACTATCAAGATATCCGACGGCTCCTATTGGCTTATCGACGTCACGCTGTCAATCCAACATGGCAGCTGTCAGGTGTCAATACGTGGCCAATCAAAATGTCCTTCCTTGAGAGGGAAATTGGTGACGCTTTAGTCACTACAGATTATAAAGAAGCTTGTTGTTGAATTCCGACGTTATTGTCAAGTATTATTTCCGTAACTTTAATATAATAATAATAATATTTTTTTTTTATTTAAAATATAATTTTTATAAAATGTCTGGTAAAGTTTTATAATTGCACTATGTATTATACTGCTTTATTTTTATAAAGCTTTGATACCTACTTTACTATCCATAATAACATTAAGTTACTTTGTATTACCGAACACGTTTTTGGAAGCATGTTTGTCTCTAATCTTATAGTGTTACACTTAACATAAATGTTAGGTACACCGTAAATATTTAATCTTTTAGTTAATATATTTACGTTAGTCTTTTGATATGATTTATATTGTAATATTATTTAACAAATAATATGATCTTCAAAGCAATTTAAGCGACAATCACAACGTTCTGCTTCCATCCATCCATCCGTCCTATTTTGTATAAAAAAACTTAAGTAATCTTTATTGTATAGATATTCGAACTGACTAAATTTTATCGATGTACTGAGAAGATATTTATGTTTTCTTGTAAATACCTGTTTAGTTTGATAAGAGTATTTAATCAAAAATTATGTTTATTTTGTTTCAATTCTATATTTAGCATGATTAGTCAAAGCATGTACCTTCAATATGTTTCAAATGTCTTCAAATTTATTTCTGTTGTTAAGTTTACTTAAATAAAGATGAATAAAAGTTGTTATTTTATTTTATTTAAATCAATCGATATAACGCAGTATCGAAGGACGTATGCACCAAGTTTCAAGACTGTAGGACTTTTCCTTGGAGGGTAGGAAACAAATAAGAAAATCTACTGACCCCAAATTTTTCAAATTTTCTTCCACATTTTAGAATCTATGTAGTAACTTACAAGACTTTCAGTTAAGATCAGTAATGTCCTGTTTTTTAAACCATATATGTAGACGTAAACAATATAATGTGTCGTATTAAATCATGATTGAGAAATTTTGTGAAAAAAGTGTAACCACATGCAATGATGACAGTCAAATACTCCTGTTAGTGATTAAGTGATTCTATAGTAGGGGAGAGGTAGGTACACTTCCCGTCATATAAAACTGGTACACTTTTTTTCCCAACGTAAACCAGTGTTCAGACTGTACACCATGATTCTGAAAAATGTATAAAGTGTTAAGATAGATATTATTTTTATCATTACCAACAAAAAACGGTATCTAATAAATTTAATAACCATAGAGACTGTTAGGTTAAGACTCTAAAATGTTTCAAGAATTTTTTAATAATGGAGATATGACGAATTCACTTTCGAATTGTAATACATATATTTAAATTCCACACTTGTTCACTGTAAAACTTATTCATTTTGTGTTAATTTTAAATTTAATTTTGAATTTTTCCAGTGTGTTTTATTTATTCTACTATGCCACAACTCAATACAGTTTTGTGCTACTCTTAACCAAAAACGAATCACACCTCTCGATTTGAAATTTAATTAATTTAATTAATTTAATTTAATTAAATTAATCATTTTAAAGTCATGTCTAGATTTTTTATTATCTATCATTATTTTTTTGAATTGAAATATTTTCATAACGATTCAATGTATGGGTATTTATTTGAGATAATGGAAAATAACAAAATTATTAGGAGAACTCTTTAGGATGTTTAAAATAAATGTAACTTACTGATCGGGAATGATCGACATTGTTTTAGTTTTTCATCATCATCATCACTGGCTCGACAACAATTTTTAGGCCTTGGCCTGTTCCAGAATTCTTCTCCATTCTGATCTGTTTCGTGCTTTTTTCCTCCAGTTTTTTTTTATTTTTAAGGTTGTTATATCATTTTCTATTTGTTCTAAGTATCTCAGCTTCGGTCTTCCTCTTGTTCTTTTCCTACTGGCATCTGTTTGAATATTTTGTTTGGTGTTTCGCCTTCTTCCATTCTTTCTACTTGTCCTATCCAACGCAGCCGTCCTATTTTAATAGATGTTATAATATCCGGATCCTTATAATTTCGTTTTCTTTTGGGCCCTTATATATGTGTGGCAAAATTTTTCTTTCGAAGGTGGCTAACAACGTTTTCTCTCTTTTAGTGAGTGTCCAGGTTTCTGAGCCGTATGTGTACCGGTCCTATTAAAGTTTTGTATATTTGCCATTTTGTTTTTCTTGAGACGTTATCTGATCTTAGTTGCCTAATTAAGCCATGGTAACACTTATTAACAATAAATATTTGCCTCTTCACTTCCTCCGCAACGTTATTATCAGACGTGACTATCTCTGTTGTATCCCTCAATGTTGTATTCTCCTATTGTTATATTTTGTGGCTGCCTTATTTTTGCGTTTTTACTTACCTACATATATTTTGTTTTGGTCAGATTTGATTGTATGCGTCTATCATTTCTCTTCTTGATCTTGCGGTTATGTCAACATCATCTGCAAATGCTAGTATTTGCACGCTTTTATTAATGATTGTTCCTTGAGTATTAACTGCTGTGTCCCTCAGTATTTTCTCGAGTACGATGTTGAACAAGATGCATGATAGAGCGTCTCCTTGGCTTAGTCCCTTTTTCACATCTATTGTTTCCGTTAATCCATTTTTGTATCCAGATTTTACTTTCTACTTTTAGAGATTCTTTTATTAGTTCTATTAATTGTGTTGGTATAATAAATTCTTTCATTGCTTTTATTAAGAATTCTCGGTTTATATTGTCATATGCGCTTTCAAAATCTATGAAGAGATGATGTGTGTCGATGTTATATTCACTTGTTTTTTCGAGGATCTGTCGCAGAACAAATATCTGGTCTTTTGTTGACTTCTCTCTACAGAAGCCACTTTGGTATTTGTCAACTATTGTTTCAGCGTGTGGTCTAAGTCTTTTATAAATGACGTTAGACATTATTTTGTATTCTGCATTCAGCAGCGTGATTCCACGGTATGTAATGCTACAATAATACCTCTATTCCACACCTCTGGTAGCTGTTTATTCGACCATATCTTTGTTATCAATTCACGTATTGTTTTTTGTAGTGCGTCTCCTCCTTCCTTCAGTAATTCCGATGCTATTTGATTCCATCCCGGTGCTTTATTATTTTTTATTTGTCTACTGCTGTTCTAATCTCGGCTATTGTTGGTGGAGTCCTCTTTAGGTTGTCTGCTTGGTCTAATGGTATGTCAAGGTTCGTCTCTTTCCCATCTCCTTCAAGCTTTTCCGTAAAATGTTCTGTCCATCTACTTAGTATCTCTTCTGTTCTGTCAATATATTACCTTCCTTATCTCTACACATCGTTGTTCTCGTTTTGAAGTCTTTTCTGCTTTTGTTCAGTTTCTGATATAATTTTCTTGTCTCTGCTGATTTACTTAGTTCTTGTAGTTCTTGAAGTTCTTTGTTCATATATTCTCTCTTTTTTCTTCGATGAGTTTTCTTTTCTTCTTTGCGTAGTTGTTTATATTCTTCCTCTGCTTGTCGAGTTCTGTGCCCCTGTTGCATCAGTAAATATGCTCTGTTTTTTCTGTCTTTTATAATCTGACATTCTTCGTCAAACCAGTCATTAGTTCTTGTTCTTCTTTATCTACCTTCTATGTCTAATACTTCTTTAGCTGCCACTTGTATGATGTCTCTGCATTCTTTCTACTCCTTATTTAGGTTTTCATGTGTTAGTCTGTTTTCTAGTTTGTTGCTTACCTTGTCTTTATACTCTTTATTTTTGTTTGTTTCTTTAAGTCCTTCTAACTTGTATCGTTTATGTTTAGAGCCTCTTCCCTTTTTTATGTTTGAAATTCTAACCCTTACCCTACTTTCGACCAGGTAGTGATCAGAATCCGCATTTGCTCCTCGTCTGGTGCGGACGTTTTTATATTCGATTTGTTGTAGTTTTTAGTACCTACACTAAAAACTTGACGTCTGTCGCACAGCCCAGCCCTACTTTTAGTTGGTTTGATATAATATATTCGTTGATCTGGCAATGTTGCCCTAGAAATAAAAGTGACATATGTGACAAGATCAACTTACATAGCTTAAAAAACACAATTTTTGGTTATAAGAGTTGTACCAGTTTTTTATGACGCGAATGGTACAATGAGACGGTCAGAACACTGAGACAAATTCGATAGAGCTTGCTATGTTCGGTATTACCCAGTAGAACTAAACAAACTTGCCTTTTACCACCTTGAAGTGAAGCAAACAAGAAACCGTTGAGATTCAACAAGAAATTTTTATTTATCGTTGATCATTCGAAATAAGTGCGTCGTAGTAAATATAATCTCTACTTGGCCGGTGTTTTCACGGAAACTGAAGTTTTTAGACAAGGTAAATTATTTTGTGGTGGCTCCTCGATACAGCAAGCAGCTCGAATGAAAGAAATATCTTTTCAAACAGTCCACAGATATGTAAGAAAAACATCAAACGGACATTATCGTCAACAAGATGATAACGTCCGTTTATGTCCTAATTACAAAGTAAAACAATTGTTTACTATCGAACAAGAGAACGACTTGTGCGAATATATAATTAAATGTTCTAAAATGTTTTATGGTCTATATCAAGAGAAGATACCCGAAAACTGTCAGATGAAAGCGCAGCCTACAATAATATAATGGTTCCATACCACACAATAATATAGTGGCATACATACAAAATTGCTTCACTTGCCTGGATGAAAGGATTTAAGAAAAGTCATTAAAATAATTTATCTCTCTGGACCAAAAAGGTTGTAGTCTTGCAAGGGCAACCGGTTTCAATAAATTTAACATTGAAATGTTTTTCAGTAAACTTTTAAAAGTCCGCAGAAAGAGGTATACGAAAGGTTAGTAAGACTACAAGTTGCAAACGTGGAACGCTCGTAACAACATGCTATATTGTTGGAGCATCTGTAGCAGCTATTCCTTCTGCTCTGGTATTCCCAAGTGCACACTTTAAAGATTTTATGATAAACGGTTCACCCCCTGAAACTTTAGGACTAGCTTCAAGAACAGGTTGGATAAATATAGAGTGCTTTGTGCAAGTTGTTAAGCATTTTATTAAGCACACGGGTAGTACCAGAGAAAACCCTTCTTTATTGCTAATGGATAATCATCAAAGTCATTTATCGATTAAGGCAAACGATTTATGTAAAAATAATGGCGTTACAATCCTAACTATACCGTAACACTATACGAATAGATTACAGCCGTTTAGGACTCTACTTGAATCTTTGAACCCTGTGTTCATTTTCCCATGCGTGTTTACATATTTAAGATCTATTAAATTCTCTATTTCAAATATAAGATTGATCTTCACTTATTTTAACATTTAATGGTCTTCTTGTTTCAACTAAATAAAACCAATCGCATTCACAAAGTATTTTATAAATACAAATATTTGTTCTTTCTTGTTCAATTTTAGTTTTAGTTTTCGATAAAATACATAGATCTCAAGGTGTTTGTTGTTTTGAATGTTGTTGAAATATTGAATTTATTATCGTTTTAAGTTTTTCTGATAATCCTTTTAGTATTGATTTGGTTTTTTCCTCGTATTATTCCCTGTGTATGCTATAGGATCTCGTTCTATAATACCTTCGTTTTTACTTTTAGGAACCTCCATTCTACAGAATTAAATTCTGACAACCATTCTGTTACTAGTACCACAGAACACTAATCACAACCAGAAGCGAAAGCTTTGTCGGAACCTTTGATGTTGGGAGGACAGAAATTCAGAGTGACAGTAGCAATGAACCTACATTT